TGGGTCACTTAATTTTCACAACACAGTGAGGCACTGCTCTCCTCATTCCCATTTGACAGATGGGCTGCCGAGTTTCTGCGGTCGGCCAGGCTCATGCGGTGGTGGAGCGAGGACTGGAACACTGGCCTGCGTGACTCTGAGCCCTGGGCCTCTTACCGGCTGCACTGTGCACTCAGCAGCCCCGCGGTGAGGCCCTTCTTTGGCAGGGGCCTGAGCTCGGGGGGTCTGGGGAGGCATGAGGGTGCTGAGAGGGAATCAAGGGGGTCTGGAGAAAGGGGCTGGGCACAGGGAAAGAGAATGGCAGGAAGGAGCTGAAGGTGCACAGAGGCCAGAGCGGAGCTCAGCCGGAGCCAAGGGCTTGGATCAGCCCTGGTTGGATGCCCAGGCTCCTGGGAGCTGTGGTGGGAGCAAGGGTGGGGAGGAACACTTCCCAGGGCTGCTTCCGACCTGCTCCTCGTCAAACTTGTGACTCATCTCCGGAGTACAAGAGCCTGCTTGTGGCCATTGCGACATCAGGGAGTTTCCCCAAGGCTGGGATTTGGAGGGCCTTAGCACCGTCCACTCCCCATGATAGATTATTTGGAGAGCCTTAGCGCCGCCCACTCCCCATGATGGATTGGGGTGATGAAGGGGTAGGGTGGGGGCAGTTTTCTTACTTTCCCACTGTAGGGAGCAGTGAAGGCCACATATGGCATCTGATCATGCGGTTCTGGAGCCCAGGACAGACCCAAAGCTGGGAGCGGATTGGAGTGAAAGCTCCTCCCTCTCTCTACTTGGCCCCTCTCAGGGAGAGAGTGGAAGCCCACATGGGGGCCGGAGCTGGGGATGCTGGAAGACTATTTACTAATTCCTCCCTCCACCCCAGATGTCAGCACCACAGGTATGGCCTGGGCCTGGCCCCATGTGGAACACGCCAGGCAAACCTGTCAACCAGATCCATGGGAACTCAGATATATTACCTTTTCCCACAGCATCGATCGTTTTAGTCAAGGCAGAAATTTCTCCCTCTGCAAATGAATAACTGGCCTTCACCACAGAAGGGCAACAGAATTCTACTGTATGGGTTTGCCAGTTTCTCTCCCGCTGTGGGGCCATTTGCTGGGCTTCAGTAAACGTTACTTATGCGCATCTCATAAATCAGGTGTCTGACTTCTCAGAATGTGGCTGCAGTCTACCGTTGAATTAGATCCTGTGAGCAATGTCCGATTTCACTGGCCAGCACGTTCTTCTCGAGTGTGGGATTGGTTTTTGCAAGCCCTAGAAAGGATTTTGATAAGCCGCCAACTTCAGGCAGGCTGAGAAACAAGAAAGGAGGGCATACGTGGGTCAGTTCGCTCGGAGTAGAAGAGGGATCAGGTATTATTTTCCCTTTCCCACTCTCTATTCCTGCCTGTTCCTGCCTACTTTTGCCACTTTGCCACAGAGCCTTTGCCCAATGAATTCCTGCCTGGGGGCTTGGAAATCACATTGGTGTTGGAGTCAGATGAGTTGGGTGAATCCAGCCTCTGCAGTCTGAGCAAGCACTGCCTTCCTTAGCCTCCTTTTCCTCTCCTAGAAAGTGGACGTCCTGAAACAGACCTCACAAGGGAGTCAGGTGATTAAATGAGATGACTGAGCCTATTGCTGTGTGTGGCTGCTGTGAGTCCTACTGGGTGAACTTGGACAGGTCTTACTGCTCTGTTTCCTAGACTGCACAAGAAGAGCTGGTCCGGATCAGGGGTTGCAAACCCAACCTCCCATAGCTGCCATGTGTGTGAATTTGATGGGAGGGCGCCCTGTTCACGGGGCTTCTGCTACGCAGCACCAAAGAATTGGAGCTCTGGGGGGATCCCGGAAGGTCAACCCCAAGGAGCCCAGGGATGTTCCTCTCTTTTGTTCACTGCCATATTCTCAGTGTCCACAACAGTGTCTGACAAAGTAAATGCTTAATAAATGTCTGCTGAATGAATGAAATTGAATCAGTGTTGCTGGATCTTCCAAACATTCAAGAGAAACTGGAAAGCTGGCTCCCTGTGGGGAGTTTCAGTCCTGGCAACCAACTCAAGAGCCTGGGGGCTTGGAGTTCTAAAAAATGCCATGTGGTCCAAATTAAACACATGTGCAGGCTGGATCGTGCCTGTCGGCTCAGCTCCAGGCCTTCTGACCGCACTCTGCTCTCCAGAAAACCTGCAGGGGCTGGAGCACTGATCACAGGGTTATCACTGATGAGGTCCCGGTGGCCCAGCCGCTGCCAGCCTCTCACACCCTGTCTCCAGGCTGCAAGAACATGGCATTCTTTCCATTCCTGGAATGAATGAGTCTTTGCTGCTGTTCTGTGAGGACCAGCCCTTCCCGTGCAGCTCTGGGGACTGCCATTCTCCCCATTCCCCCAAGTGTCTTGGAGTCCAGTCACTACACCCTCTCCCCTGCTCCATGGAAACTGACCTTGGAATGGCCTCTTGGCCCACGGACTCTCTCCTCCCCAGGGCCTGACGGTGTCCCACCTGCCTGCAGGGGCCCAGTGGAGGGCCCACCCACCACCTGATCTCCCCATTCGCTGACTATGTTGTCTCCAACCTCCTTCTTCCCTCTACTTCAGCCACCTGGTGTCAGGGATATACTTGGTCCTTGTCATCTCCTGGGATGGCTCTGCCTCTGGAATGTTCTATTCAAACATTCCTGCTCTGTGGCTATGACTTCCTCTCTCTGTCTCTCTTTTAATGAGACAGGGTCTCCCTCTGTCAGCCAGGCTGGAATGCAGTGGCACAATCTTGGCTCACTGCATGTAGCCTTGACCTCCTGGGCTCAGATGATCCTCTTGCCTCAGCCTCCCGAGTAGCTGGGACTACAGGTGCACACTACCACGCCGGGATAATTTTTGTATTTTTTGTCGAGATGAGGTCTTGCTATGTTGCCCAGGCTGGTCTCGAACTCCTGGGCTCAAGTCATCCACCTGTCTCAGCCTCCCAAAGTGCTGGGATTATATATTGCACCCTTTGTGGAAATCAGGCTCACGACTGACTCCCTTCACAGTGTACAGAAGATCATGCCCAGCCCTTCTTCTCTTTCTTGCTCTGTCACCCAGGTTGTCTCATTACACCCGTCCTTTAACACACTGATCTCACTTCACTTCTTTCTCTCCCTGTGCTTGTTTCTTCCTTCTCCATTATTCCCCAGAGTCTGACCAGGATCCCCAACTCCCATGACGTATGGCCGTCTGTCTGGCTAAACCCTCCTCCAGAGCAATCCTTTCCTGGGTCTGTCGAGCATTGAGAGTAAATTCACAGAACACAGCGATGCTTTCCAGCTTCAAGGGGGCCCTCAAAGCCCCCTGGAGCCCACCATGCTTCCTGGGTGAACTGTCTTTGCCGACTGACCATTGTGGACCCAGCCTGTCCATTCTCCTCCAGCCCCAATTCCCTCCGTGACCCACCTCGTCCTCTGCCGTCCTTCAACCTCTCCCTCCTAACCTGTAACCCCACCTGCCTCTGGGCCTACTTTGTTCCTTCGGTCTGGAACACTCCTTTCCTCCATTTTGCTTGGACAGCTTCTCATTTTTTGGGATTCAGTTTATGTGTCTCTTCTTCCAGGAACCCCTCTATAACCATTCCTCCCAGCCACCCAGACTGGAGCCCTGCTCTGGTTCTCACGGCACCCCTCACCCTGATGAAGGCGGGCACCCTGCTCTATGACAATCTCTTAATTATTGTCCCGGTTGCTGTGAGTCCCTGGAAGGTAGAGACACTGTTAGGTCACCTTTGGGTCTCTCGTAGCAAGACCCGCACCAATACCTTACACATTCAACAAGAACATGCGAAAGCATTCTTTTGTGAGCAGCTCCCCCTTTCCCGCCTCCGCCAGCCCTTCCTCCCTGTCTCCACGTATCCAGATTGCACCCTTTGTGGAAACCAGGCTCACGGCTGACTCCCTTCACAGCGTCTTCTCTGCTAACCTGAGAGGGAACCCATCTCCTTTCTCTCTGGTGGAGAAAGATGCTGGATCCGTGGTGTGCTCATGCAATTTCTCATTTCATTTTTTATATGATAATATGTGGATGTATGCAAGTTCCTTGGAGATAGAACTTCCAGCTGTACCATCCCTGTATTCCTGGCAGTTAGCCTAGAAAGCTTTGAAAAGACAAATGGAAGTGTAATAAGAGAGGCCATTACCCAATACTTGTTATTTGTTTCCTGCTGCTGCTATGACAAATTACCAGAAACTTGGTGGCTTAAAACACAAATGGGACCAGGCGCAGTGGCCACGCCTATAATCCTAGCATTTTGGGAGACCAAAGTGGAGGATCACTTGAGCCCTTGGATTTGAGACCAGCCTGGACAACTCAGGAAGACCCCATCTCTACAAAAAATAGAAAAGTTAGCCAGGCATGGTGGTGCACACCTGTAGTCTCAGCTACAGGAGGCTGAGGTAGGAGGATCCCCTGAGTCTGGGAAATTGAGGCTGCAGTGAGCCGTGATTGTGCCAGTGCACTCCAGCCTGGGCGACAGAGCGAGACCCTATCTCAAAAAAGCAAAGCAAAGCAAAACAAAACAAAACAACAAAACACAAATGTATTCTCTAACAGTTCTGGAGGCCCGAAATCCTCAATCTGTTTCCCTGGGCTGAAGACAGGGAGTTGGCAGGACCCATTCCTTCTGGAGGCTCCTGGGGGAAGCCATTTCCTTGCCCTTTACAGCCTCTAGAGAGTGCCTGCAATCCTTGGCTCACAGTGGCTGCCCTGAATTCCTATGGCCTCTGCTTCCACAGTCACATCTCCCGACTCTGAGCCTCCTGCCTCCCTCTTATAAGGACCCTTGTGATTCTATAGGGCCCACCTGGATAATTCAGGATCATGTCCCCATCTCAAGACCCTTAATTTGGTAACAGCTGTAAAGTCCCCTTTATCATATAAAGTAACATTCATAAAGTCCAGGGATTAAGTACCCCCCAACCGATGGGAGTGATTATTTAGCCTATCACAATAGCATTTATTATGTCACAAAGAATTGATAAGAAAGTCAGGCTTCTTGGTTCAATGCTGTTTTAATTCCGCCAGAAAAGTTGGAAGATTTCTTTCCTGTGGGATGAAGATATTGGGACAAGACTTTTAGGGGTGCATTGTTTATAAAGTTCCCAGACCTTGGTCCTGAAGAGCCGGCCCGCAAAGACATAAATGACTGGGTTCAGGGAGCTGTTGGTGAAGGCCAAGAAGTTGGCCAATTGCAGGCCCAGGTCAATGAAGTCCTCCCAAAAGCAGCCTCGGACTGCTTGCACCTGGAATAAGAATTCCAGGAAGGCAAAGAAGTGGTAAGGGGCCCAGCAGACCAGGAAGGCCACCACGAGCGTGACGATCAGCGCTGTGGTCTTGCTATCCTTGCGGCCCCCGCACCTTGTCCTGCTGACCTCCTCCCGCCCTCGCAGGGAGGCCAAGATGTGGTAGTTGAAGAAGACGATCGCAGCCAGTGGTAGGAGGAAAGCCAGAATATTTAACTCCACAATCCTCGCAAAGTGCCAGGCCTCATGCGGGAGGAGCAGGATGCAGGCGGTGATGTTCAGATCTGGGACGGCTTGGATGGATCGCAGCAGGAATGTGGGGATGCTCAAGAGGCCCCCCACAACCCAGATGAGCACGCAGGTGACCCGGGCCTGCCTCCGCCGCTGCCGCCTCCGGCTGGCCATAGGGTGCACTAGCATGCAGTAGCGGTCCTGGCTGATGGCCACCACCAGGAAGATGCTGATGAACAAATTGGCCTTGATGACGCCGTTGGTGACACGGCAGAGGAGGGCTCCGAAAGGCCAGTTAAACTGGTTCCAAATGTTCTCTGCCCAGAAAGGCAAGCCCAAGACAAACACCAGATCAGAGGCCGCCAGGTTGGCCAGGTAGATTTCTGCCACGTTCAGTCGCCGCCTGGGCAGGAGGAAGACCAACAGGACGAAAAGGTTCCCTAGGAGGCCGAAGGAACAGATGGAGATGATAAATGTCGGCAGCACTCTGTGCAGCAGGTCCCAGGCTTCCGGAGCATTGTCACAGGCTGTAGCATTTTGAGGGAACAGCTGGCTCTGGTTGGAGGACTGGAGCTCTAGAGGGGGCCAGGATGCCATGCACAGTGACCTGAAATGAACAGCAGGTAGAATAAAACAGGAAGTGGCAGACTACAGCCTATGAGCCAAACCAGCCTGTCACCTGTTTTTGGACAATAAAGTTTTATTGGCACAGAACCACACCCATTCATGGACACATTCTCTATGGCTGCGTTCATGCTACAAGGGTGAGTCGAGTGCTTGTAACGGAGACTGTCTGGCTTGCAAAGCTGAAGATATTTACCATCTGTTCCTGCAGAGGAAAAGTTCGCTGACCTCTGGTTTAAGGGATGGTGCCTGAGTCCAAATCCTGGTACAATCACTCAGTGTGAGCTACTTAGACCCATGGACTTTCACTTTCCTTTTTAAATATTGGAGAGAATCGTGTCTCTCTTGTGGGATCATGGGAGGGCTGTTGTTAGGATCTACAGGGTGCTTAGCTCTGTGCCTGGCATAGAGGAAAGACTTTGGAAGGTAGTGATTAGTCTTAGTAACAACTGTACCATTATTATTATTATTATTACTAGTAGGGTTTTAATGGCATTTAATGAGCAGTTACCTCACACCAGCCCCTTGCCAGGCACTGAAGATATGCAGGACAGAGTAGCCCCAGCCTCATGGGGCTGCAGACATGGAGGCAGAGGTCACGGCTTGAAACAGAACTGAGGGAAGCCCGGGAACAGCAAAGGAAGCTGACCTGTTGTGGCTGGGACCAGTGCGGTGGAAGGGATGGGGGCAGTGCTAGAAGGTTCCTCTTATGGGCCTGAAAAACATGAGTGCTGGCCAGGTGTGGTGACTCACACCTGTAATCTCAGTACTTTGGGAGGCCAAGGCAGCTGGATCAGATGAACCCAAGAGTTCAAGGCCAGCCTGGGCAACATGGTGAAATCCTGTCTTTACAAAAAAATACAAAAATTCGCTGGGCATGGTGGTGCACACCTGTGGTCCCAGCAACTCAAGAGGCTGAGGTGGGAGGATCGTTTGAGCCTGGAAGGTTGAGGCTGTAGCGAGCCATGATTGTGCCACTGCACTTTAGCCTGGGCCGACAGACTGAGACCCTGTCTCAACAACAACAACCACAACAAAAAAAAAAAAAAAGAGAGAGAGAAAAAAAGATAAAAGAAAAAGGAAACCATGAGTAATAAATAAGGATAACAACTACATTTGTTAGATGGTATTAATGGTCTCTGTGTTCCAGGTGCCATTCTAAGTGTTTCACATTTAAGTATTTTCTCATTTAATATTCCTAGCAGTCATTCAAGGTAGGGGCCATTGTCATCTCCACTTCGCCAATTAGAAAATTGAGTGCTGAGACCCAGAGTCACCTGTCTGAGGTCACACAGCTGGTCAGTAGAGCCTGGATTCAAACCCAGGCAGTCTGATTTGAGAGCCTGATTGACAGCCTGTGCTTTGCTCTCTTCTGCTGCACCTGTCCCTGCTCGGTGAAGGACAAAGCCAGGCTGAGAGAAGTTAACCAGCTTATGGGAGAAGACCTAGGTGGTGTTTACAGTGCTACGCTAGGAACCTTGGTCTGCATGGGCCCCAGAGGCTGTGCTCACAGCCATGCAGCTGACTGGCCTTCTACGCTTGCTGGAGGAGCTAGAGCTGGTGGGCACAGTGTACACTATGAACTTTGGTCTGCATGCCCCCCGTAGCTCACATTCACAGCCACACAGCCGACCTGCCTCCCATGGTCCCATGCTGAGTTTCACCGGGAGAGGGATAGAAAGCTCTGTCTCTTTCCATAGGGAAGACTGTGTCTCCCAGCCCTCTGTGGTCCCACAAGGGATAGATCCCATCCTGTGCTCATGGCTTTGTGGCCTCCTGCCCGCAAAACCGGCCACAGCCAACTCGGGGACCCACAGAACACTATCCGCAGAGTGAGCAGCTGCCTACACTGTGGGATTTATGGGGCTCCAGATGATCTTCAGAGTCTAAACATTCTTCCACAACTTGGATAGGTTAATATACACCCAGTGCTTAGCAGGGTTCCTGACTTATCGTAAGCACGTGGCAAATGTTAGCTGTCACCATCATGATTGTTATTACTGGGTGACACCTGGGATTGCTTCAACTGCACAAAGCCTCACAGATACCAACAAAAGCTATCGTGTAGCAGAGAATTAGTCCTGGAAGAGCATATTTGGCTGTGTAACCTCGGGAGAGTCAGTTCATGTCTCTGAGCCTGACTTTCCTGACCGAAGGAAGACACGATGTCCTCAAGAGGCTCTTCTAGCTGTGATAGTCTGTCATGTCACTCACATGGAGTTATTCACACTGGGGTATAATTCACTGGTTCCTCCAGTCATTTTTTTTGCTGAACAAGTATTTACTGAGAATGTACTATGTGCCAGGTACTGTTCTAGGTATTTAGGACAAAGCAGTGAATACAGCAGGCAAAAACCCCTGCTCTCAGTGTGCGTATAAGCCTAGCGGGAGGAAGGAGTTGAAAAACAACACACACACTAAATAAACATGCTGGCGAGTGACAGCTGGGGAGAGTAGCAGTGCAGGTGGTGAGAAGTGATCAAACCCTAGAGGTGTTTTGAAGGTAGTAACACCATGATTTTCAGTTGGATCTGGGTAGGAGAAAGGAGAAATTGGACAATGCCAAGGTTTTTGCACTGAACACCTGGAAGTATGAAGTTGTCATCAGCTGAAATGAAGGTGACAGAATGAAGATGAAGCAGTTTTTTTGTGGGGGGTGGGGAAGATCAGGAGTTCAACTTTGGAATTGTTAAGGTTGAGATGTAAATTGGACATCACATGGGGACATCCGGTAGGCAATTAGATAGACAAGTGTGGTATTCGGGGACAAGATCTGGGATGATGAGACATAACTGGGAGTTGTAACCACAGGAACGGCATTTAAAGTCACACGGCTGGATGAAATCACCAAGGGAGAGAGTAGATAAAAGAGCAGAAGCTGCAGAGCTGCCAGTTGACAGATCAACAGGAGATACGGGAAATTATGATTTGGTGGTTGTGAAATATCCATGGCACATGAAAGCCGAGCAGTCCCCACCCAGAGCATAATATGGAGGAGGCTGGAGGCTCTTGTTACAATAGTTTGGTCATTTTTTGCAGGGCATAAATCCAAAACTATGTTTATTTTATCATTTGGCAATACTTAAAGAATTTGCAATAAACCCTTTTGGAGTGATGAGCTAAAAAACAAATGTTTAATAGAAATTTAAGTACTGCACTTCTGTTGCTCAAGGAAGTTGCTGATGAGCAGATAGCTTGCATAGAATATTTGTTGACATTTGCATCACTATGGGGTCTGTAGCAATTTCACTGATTGCAAGAAAACCTGACACAGAGCTGCTACTTTAGAAATTAGTAATTTTAAGAACATTGCACCAGGCCAGGCACAGTGGCTCATGCCTGTAATCCCGGCACTTTGGGAGGCCAAGGCAGGTGGGTCAAGAGGTCAGGAGTTCAAGACCAGCCTGGCCAAGATGGTGAAACCCTGTCTCTACTAAAAATATAAAAATTAGCTGGGTATGGTGGCAGGTGCCTGTAATCCCAGCTACTTGGGAGGCTGAGGCAGAGAATTGCTTGAACGTAGGAGGCAGAGGTTGCAGTGAGCTGAGATCGTGCCAGTGCACTCTAGCCTGGGTGACAGAGTGAGACTCTGTCTCAGAAAAACACAAAAAACCAAAAGAACATTGCGCCCTAAGACACGGTTCTCATCCATGTAGTTGCAAAAGATACTGATATAAGATCATTCTGAGGGGCATGACTTTTCCCTTAGATCAAATGACTGTTTTTTAAGTTAACTCAGCTCACATTTAATTCCAGCTTTTCTTGTGCATGTGCAACAGTGGAAGTGATGGCTGACTGTGCGTTGGCTCCATAAGAAGAATGTCATAGAAAGCAAAATGGTGCCCGCTCAACACGAGTATCCTCAGACTCTTCAGACAGAAAAGCCTGTCAATTCCAATCACAATTCATCCTTTCATTCAGCTCATGGAAGCAAAGCAGGGCTTTGCAACATTCATTCTGGCAAAGTGAAACAACTGACTTTTTGTGAATGCTATTTTAAGTTGTTTAAATTTTCCACATTGGAAATAAAGTCATTGCATTTTTGTGAGGATAAAACACAAATTTTGGTGGAGTCCAGTGTCATGGTAACAACAATATTCCTACTAAATTAAGACACTAATGAAACAGAAATGTGATTGGAACAGGTCATGGTGCATACACAATTTGTTACTGCATGTAAATAAATGTCGATATTCTATAAATAGAAATAGATGTACGTGACAAGATTTATAAAATGTTAAAACATATGCACAGAATTACTGAACTACAAACTTGATGTGATAAAGTTGTTCATGAATTTTTAAAAAAATTTGACTTTCACATGTGTTTTCTCTTTTATTTTCCCATTATCAACCAATTTTGGAGGACACTGAGTCTCAGTGCCATAAAACGTTATTAAACAGTGTGTTGAAACAGATCTCTAAATTTTTGTTGAATTTTGTTCCAAATCAGTTGGAAATATTTAGTCAAGTTATTCAATAAATAGAGCACCAAAACATCAGCTTTCAAAGCTTTTAGTGAATTATAAGTATTGAAAACAAAGCTGGTATGCAGAAAAATTATAAAATGTATCAGAAAATGATCAAAATCAAATGCTGTAGAAGAGTTAATTTTGAAATTCTAAAATGAGCTCTGGAATATTTCAGTTTGTGGGAAGAATCTTTTTAATTGGATAAATTCATGTTCTGTATGGAAATGAAATGAAACTGAGAAAACCAGTGATTTGCAGTATCTGAATTTGACAAAACATTCAAAACTTATAAGTAGGTACAACTTATTTGAAAGGTTTAATCTGGTAAAAAAAAAAAAAAAAATACTTGTGGGCTGGGCGCGGTGGCTCATGCTTGTAATCTCAGCACTTTGGGAGGCCAAAGCAGGTTGATCACCTGAGGTCAGGAGTTCAAGACCAACCTGGCCAACATGGTGAAACTTCATCTCTACTAAAGATTAAAAAATTAGCCAGGCATGGTGGCGGGCACCTATAATGCCAGCTACTCAGGAGGCTGAGGCAGGAGAATCGCTTGAGCTGGGGAAGCGGAGGTTGTGGTGAGCTGAGATAGTGCCACTGCTCTCCAAACTAAGGCACAAAGACAGCACCTGTGAAAATATCTGGGCTAAAATATTTATGCAATTCCATGAGCAAAGAATTGGACTTGAGAACAGCCTCTGCCTGGCAGAATTTGCTGAGAGCTTATCACTCAGAACCTACAGATGGAACATTTTCTCAATATATTATGGTTCAAGAGAAGAGTCAATTGAAGGTACTAATTTAAATTTGTTAATTGTAAAATTTGTGGAAAAAAGATTTCAGGCAATTATATGGAAAAATTAAAAATAACAAGACCACATTGAAGAAAATACATTATTGGGAAAAATGCCAAAGATATGGTATCAGTCAGGTATAAGAAACCGTAGCATGTGAATATGCAACGAGAAAAATTATTTTGCTTATCTTACTTATTTATTTTTTGAGATGGAGTCTGGCTCTGTCACTCAGACTGGAGTGCAGTGGTGCGATCTCGGCTCACTGCAAGCTCTGCCTCCTGGGCTGGCACCATTCTCCTGCCTCAGCCTCCCGAGTAGCTGGGACCACAGGCACCCGCCACCAAGCCCGGCTAAGTTTTTGTATTTTTAGTAGAGATGGGGTTTCACCATGTTAGCCAAGATAGTCTCGATCTCCTGACCTTGTGATCCACCCACCTCCACCTCCTGCTTATCTTATTTTTAAATGTTCAGTTAATTAACATAAAAATGTTTTATTTTGCTTTAATATTCATAGGTGCATGTATATGTATTTAAAGACTTTTTTTGAAAATAGTTTTTATCTAGAACTACTTTATAACACCATCAATATAATATAACAATTTTGTTGGACTTTTTTCCTCCCTCCCTCCCTCCCTTCCTTCCTCCTTTCCTTCCTCCCTTCCTTTCTTCCTTCTTTCCTTCCTTTCCTCCTTCTCTCCTTCCATCCCTACCCTCCTTCCCTCCCTTCCTTCCTTCCTTCCTCCCTCCATCCCTCCCTTCCTCCCTCCTTCCCTCCCTCCCTCCCATCCTGCTTCCCTCCCTCTCTCCTTCCTCCCTCCTTCCCTCCCTTTCCTTCTTTCCTTCCTTCCTTCCTTCCTTTCCTTCCTTTCCTCCTTTCCTTCCTTTTTTCCTTCCTTCCTTCTTTCCTCTCTCTTTCTACCTATAAATACTGATTTTTTTTGGAAATAATTTTTGACTATTGGAGTGCCGTGGCAGTGTGCACAACACATGGCCTGGCCATCCTTCTAGCTATCTCTGATGATGGCCAGGAAGCCGAGGTCTATGGTGACAGAGATTGGCCAGTGGGAATGGGTGAAATTCCCCTGTGATAGGTTGAGAATTTTCAGGGAGAAAGAAGGCGAGATCCTGACCTATGGTGCAGGGGCTGGGGCATTGAGAGTTTGAGAAGAGACAGGAGGGTGCTGAGCACTGATATGGTTTGACTGTGTCCCCACTCAAATCTCATCTTGAGTTGTAGCTCCCATAATTATCGTGTGTTGTGTGAGGGACTTGGTGGGAGATAATTGAATCATGGGGGTGGAGAACAAAGCCAAGCCAATATCTTGACTTTAGTTCAGCGAGACTGAGTTTGAACTTCTGATCTCCAGAACCGTAAGACAATAACTTTCATCATTTTAAGCCATTAACTTTGTGATAATTAATTACAGCAGCCTTAGGAAACCAGCACAGGGGGTGAGGCTGCACCTTGCCCAGGAAGCCAGAGACGACCAGCTATGCAGGGACTTTAGCTCGAATCTGATTAGGTCAGCAGACACCACCCCCATTCCCAGGACTGGGAGGTGGCTGGGGCCACTGCAGCCACAGCATGTGTCTGCTCACGTGGGGCTTCTTTTTAAAGGGATTGTCCTCACCTGCTGCTGTCTGTGTTTATAAAGTTGGCCAGAAAGGAGAAATCTTCCTTTGCCAGGTTTAACTTTAGCTCTGATATTTGCCTGGAACATAGTAGGTGTTCAATAAACAGTATCTGTGGATATTGTTAGTAATATGTGACCCTATTTAAAGAACTCAGAAGGGGCATTGGGCAGGTCTACGAGAGAGGGAGATTCTGTCATTTCTGTGTGGTATTTTCTGGATTCTGCACATTTTAACCTTGGCTATGAGAGAGTGTGACTTTTTCCAACAAATTAGTTAATTCTTCAAATGAACTCCTATTTCAACAGCAAGGTGATGATAAAGGTGTTGGAAATCCAGCCACAGATGTTAAAGACCGTCAGCACGGTCACATAATAAGATGCTACTTTCAAGCCGCGAATAACCCAACCAGTTATTGGTCATATGAAATCTTGTAAGCCATTCCAGAGAGACTAATTTAATTTTTATGATTCAGAATTTGCAGGCTGTAACGGGTCAGAGTCCATGCAAGCTCTGGGGGCTGTATTCCGCCCTGACATGTTTCACTTGATTTTGATATAAGGAGTTACTGGAACCTTCCCAACAGTTCTAAAACCTTTCCCTCCTCCTCCTGTTCTGGAAAAGCAAGTAAGACCTAAACTAGACATGAAATAAAAGTCTCTTAAATTGATTTAGAGTTATTTTTAAAAAGTACCCTCACAGAAGTGGAACATTTTGCCAAGAGGTAGGTGTAAAAGGAAGTTTTTTGTTTTTCTAAGAGACACAGATTTCCCCTTATATTGTACTCTCATAAAAGAGAAAGAAGGTGGTCATTTACTTACTCAGGCAGAAAATGAAGGCGTTCACAACTTTAGCTGGGTTTTCTGATAGTGAGAGCTGCCTTTGGAGGTGTTTTCTCTTCTGGGAAGCTCTGTGGAAATGTGGTCGCTTTAAATTATATAACCTCCTCTCCAATGACGTCATTGTGGGGATTGCCGCAAAAGTGAGTCTTTTGGGACTCACTCCAAGTGGATTTGGAAGGAAAAATCCACTCTCATTTCACTTTGCACTTAAGGGATGATGACAGATTATTCAGTTAGCATCTCCTCTTTTACTTTGGTACCATCTGCAGAGGCCTGCAATCCTGCCCAAGACCTGTACATTGGCCAATATGCCCTAAAAACACGTTTTGGCATTGCCAACTTGCCCCAAGGCTCGCAAAGTGTCAGTGAACATTGAAGGACGGCTTTTGACCCCTTCACTGTTGGCTTCTGAATGTCTGGGGCTCTGCAGCTGCTTTTGTGGGAGCCACTTCGAATGGCCCCTTTTGAATTTTGGTCATGAAAAAAGATACATTGCCAAGAATTCATCAGAGTGGACCCATCACACAGAGAGCTAGGAAAACGTTTGACTCATGCAATGTTCAGAGTTGAGTAAGACCAGATACGCTTTTTCCTAATCCTCCTTGGCGGCTCTGAAATTATGTTGGCATGAGTCAAGTTGAACTACTCAAGACCTCATGTTTCAGACAGTAAGATATTTTTGGCTTTCTTTGAGAATCAGGTGGCAAGATTCTTCAACTGAAGGCCCCTTACCTGCCATCTTAAAAATTACGATCTTCCCAGGCCACCCCCTACATGTAGGAGAACACATTCATGCCAGAATTCAGGGCTTCGAGTCTGACTTCTGGGAAGGTGACTCTCTAAATGTTTGGAGCAGAAGGTGTTACCTCTGTCTTTAGAATCTTGCCTTTTCCTTGTGTTCCCTTTTTCTGCTAGTGACATCTCAGTGGGAGCCAACTGCACTTCAAGTTTTCCTGCTATTTTCTCCTGTTGCTGAAGACCTTAAAATTGTGGAAGTAGGTGGAACAAATAGCACTCTGAGGCTCAGTAGTGGATGTACATTTCAGGGAAGAAGTTGGAATTTGCCTTAGAGGATGGTTCCTTCCTATCAGGAGAGACCTCCTGGGTGGGATTTGCAATAAAAAAAAAAATTGTCAACAGGAAAGCATCTTCCATCATTCTGGGGATAGATCTGAACCAGAAGAAGGCTCCAAATCTTAGCCTTTCCTGTTACTTAGTAATGTAGGCGGGGTTCTCTACAGCCCGCGGCTGGCTTGTTCTCCCTTCAATATGAGTTTAGACGATACTGTTTCTGAGAAACATTTATTCTTAGGAAATGTCTCCCTGTTGATTCACCCAGGAGCACGTATAAAGCCAGCTCTGCCACGAAGAGCACATGCAGGTCTGATCTCTGCTTTGCCTCTCGCTGGAACACAGGCCATGAAGAGAGCTGGCCTGAGTGAGCTGGACTTCAGAGATGCATCTGGCCGCCTTGCTAAGGTGATGGTGGGGAATGGAAAGTTCTTTAAGAAGACCCATGTTTCCCCTTGTTGCTCATCTCCATGGGAAACGCGAGACAGGCCTGGGCTCAGGGGAGCAGAGGGTCTCCTACTGTCTCTGGGGCTAAAGGAGTGGGGCTGAGGGTAGGGGGAGGAGACCCCAAATCTGTGAAAGAAAAGCAGGTCCCTATAGCGTGGCAGAAGACAGTGGGGGGCTAAGAAGTGGGAAGGCACTGAGGACCCTCTGCTGAGGCTTTACTTGCCTTTTCTTTTCTTTTCTTTTTTTTTTTTTTGAGATGGAGTTTTGCTCTTGTTGCCCAGGCTGGAGTGCAATGGGGCGATCTCAGCTCACTGCAACCTCTGCCTCCTGGGTTCAAGTGATTCTCCCGTCTCAGCCTCCCGAGTAGCTGGGATTACAGGCTCCCACCACCACACCCAGCTAATTTTGTATTTTTAGTAGAGACGGGATTTCTCCATGTTGGTCAGGCTGGTCTTGAACTTCCGACCTCAGGTGATCTGCCCGTCTCGGCCTCCCAAAGTGCTGGGCTTACAGGTGTGAGCCACCGTGCCCGGCTGAAACTTGCCCTTTCTGAATTCAGTTGTTTGTAATTCCCACAGCCTCCATAAGGTTTGGTTAAACCTTACAGTCTGATGTGCACTGTGCTTGATGAAGTCCCCTGGGTACTTGGGTGAAGAGGTGGCCACAGAGGATAAAGGGCTGCCTCTGGAAATAGAGGACAGGCCCACCTTCCCTGGGGTGTCCTTAATACCAGTGAGGAGGCACTTCAGACAGGCTGGACTCCCTGTAGTATGCATCGGCTTGGACCATACTGGATGTGTATTTAAAGGAAAGTGAGCTCTGGAGTTTGAGGCCCCTGGGGACATGCAGTCCCAGTGCCCACTGTGACATCAAGGGAAACTTTGCAGTTCTCTAGTCGATCAGTCCTGGAGTTTTTTTCTCCTTTACTTTTCTAGTCATATCCAGCAGGTTCTTCAAAATGAAAGATTCTAGTACATGTCACCCAGCACACCTCTACAAGTAGCACCCAGATGCTAAGCCTCTCCAGGGTTCGTTCTTAGTCCTAACGACATCTGATGTCTCCAGTGTTCTCCCAGTTGTAGATGTAGGACAGAAAGCCACAGCTGGGCAGAATTCTTGCCAGGAGGAAATGCGGCACCCTCACTGTGGTCCGGCTCGTGTCCTTTCACCCCTGACCCCAAGGCTGTTGGCCATCACACCTTTCTTCCCATCGCAGGGTTTAGAAACTCATGCAACGTACGTACAAGTCTGCAACAAAGGGCTGTAAATCAATCTCCTGGCTTTCCGATTCCTTTCCTTCAGTCTATCCTTCTGCTGGATTAATATTCTGGAAACACCTGCATTTTGTCATGTCACGGGACAATGACCCAACCCCTTGGAATTCATGAGTTCCCCCATAGTCTTGCTGTAACATCCAGAGCCACCCTCCACACTGAGTGAGTGACTCATGGGCTCCAAATGCATCCTGCTTGTGAGCATTTGCTGAAAATGACCTCCCCCTCCTTGCTTTGTTCAGTGCTCATCCATCACTTAAGTCCTGGTGTAATCCTCTGCTCTTCTGTAAGCACAGTGTCTGAGTGCTTTCCCCTTTATTCTACAAACACGTATGGAGCACTCACCGGGTGCCAGGCAAATACCACCAGGCAAATGTCACAAAAGCATATGTGTCTGGCACACAGGAAGCAGGGAATGGATGGGGTGAACAGAGGGGGTCAAAGTGTAAGGGGGGCAGTAAGCAGAAAATCACAAATGTACATTCAGCAAAGCACAAACACTTGGAGATCTACAGGATGACAGTGCAGACATGAGCATTCAGGCAGCTCCAGGTGCTGCCTTGGCCTGGCAGCCAGCCCTGAAGTGAAGGGTCCTGGGTGCTGGCTCTGGGGTGGGAAGGTGCCCACTTAGCAGATAAAGCTCCACTGGGTCAGGGGTTCCATGGGCCAGGAAAGTTAAAAAAAAAATCCATATGAAACTCCCTGCCCTTGTGTGGCCCTGCATTGGCAGATGAAGGCCTTCTCGCCCGGGCAGAGCACGGATATCACCAGACCTTACTCCTTAGGGAGCCTCGAGAATCCCAGGAGTGCACATGCACTCAGAAGGGGCTTGTACCAGGACAATCAACTGCATTTCTCTGTCTCCTAAAGCCGAAGCCAGGCCATGTCACGTCTCTTCTCAGACTCCTCTGTTGCTGTCTCAGGCCCAGGAAAACACACAGACCTGACATTGGGAAGGCTGCACATTCGCAGACCCCGCTGCCTCCCAGAGCACATGCGCAGACCCAGCTTCCCAGACGACCTGTCTCATGGTGCCTGGCTGCCCTGGCTTTCTAAAGCTGTGGGTTTTTTTTGTTTTTTGACACAAGGTCTCACTATGTCGCCTAGGCTGGTCTCAAATTCCTGGGGGCCCAATCCATCCTCCCTCCTCGGCCTTCCAAAATGTTGGGATTACAGGCACTCCCCACTACGCCCAACCTTTCCTCTCTCTGTTTTGGATGTGCCACCTTCTCTCCCACCTCAGGGCCTTTGCACGGTCCGTTCCCCTGCATGGAGCACCTTGCCATTGAGAGCCCCACGCTTGCTCCCCCGGGTCCTTCTTGTCCTCACCAATCCCCCCTTATCAGAGAGCCCTTTCCTGAAATAACCTCTCCTCCTCTTGGCCTGCTACACTGCTCTTTACAGCCCTATTGCCACCTGCTCCACCAGGCAAGGGATTTATCTCTTTTGATTAGGTTTATCTTCCCAGCTCCTACAACAGGGCTGATATGTAAGAAGTGCTTAAATATTTGCTGAGTATATTCATAACCCTATGTATTATAAATAAATATGTAATAGCAATAACTTGTCTTATGTCAACAAACACGTCCCAAACCCCTTGTAGGGGCCAGGCCCTGTGTGGACATGGGGGGTGCAGAGATGAACACAGCCCACTGCCTGCCCACTTAAGGAACTCTTGGGATGGCTGAGGACAAGGACAAGCTGACGTCCAGTGACAACATGTTGTAGAAAGCAGAGTGGCAATGAAGTTCTGAGGCTGTGTCCGAGTGTGAGGTTTGAAAAAAATGAGTTCTGCTCGAGGGGGAGTGGGATGGGTAATTTATGTGTCGTGCTGACTGGGCCATGGGGTGCCCAGACATTTGGTTAAACATGGTTTCTGGGGGTGTCCGTGAGTGAGTTTAACCTTCACAGGTTAATTCGAATGATTAATGTTTGAATTGGTAGACTGAGTAAGGCAGATTGTCTTCCCCAACGTGGTGGGTGGCATCGAACCTGTCGGAGGCCTGAATACAACCAAAAGGAGCAGCAAGGGAGAACTGGTTCTCTCTGCCTGGCTGTTTTCAAGCTCGGACATCTGTCTTCTCCCACCTTCTCACTGGCCGTCCTGGGTCTCTGGCCTTCACACTCCCACTGGAACTACATCACTGGTCCTTCTGGGTCTCCAACTTGTAGATAGCAGATGGTGGGATTTCTCAGCCTCCATAATCGCATAAACCAATTCCTTATAACAAATCTATCTATATTTATCTATTTTCTGTTGGTTGTGTTTCTCTAGAGAACCTTGACTATTATGCAGAGTTGGGGAAGAATTCGTGGCAGAGGATTATTTAAACTGGGTTTTCAGGGCTGAATAGGAGTTTGGAAGGCAAGCAAGCTGAGAAAACCATCGCAGGTGGGGGGACCAGCATGTGTATTGTAACACACACATGTTCATAAGCCTTTGTGGAAGGCTCACTTGGAACTTGGACTCAGAAAGCCTGGGTTCAAGCTCCACACCCCAATTCCTCATTCTATCCGTGAATATCCCCTATCCCCTACCCTCCAGCAGGCCCTGTGCAGCTCTTGGTTTGGTTCAGGGAAGAGAACTGAGTGATAGTTTCAGCCGAGAGTAAGGGTGCTTTGAGAGAGCAGGTGCAGAAAGTTTTGTAGCTCACAGAAGCAATTTCCATTTCCCTGTACTTGGAGTTTTATAACTCTAACTA